TCAGCAGTTCGGGTTCGTTCAGTGTGGAGTTTTAGGTGTTTTTTTTTTTAAATTTTAGGCCTAATGACCTCTCGCCTTTCATTCTAAAGTCAAATTAAACGAAGAAAACAATCACCCCTTCCTCTGGAAGAGGTTTTTTTGTCAGCGTAACCATTTTAAAAAAGCGTTCTTCCGAAATTTATTTTAAAACTTGCTAGTTTCACTTTGATTTTTAAAAACTCAAGTAGAGTAACTCTGTTCGCAAAGGGTGCGCATTTGCAAAGAGGGCGCCACCAAATTATGAGGACACTTTTTTAATTGGCTCAAAGAGAGGAGTGGCCCCTCTTGCTATGTAGACTCTTTGACCACACTTTAATTAGATGGCATCGATATCTTAGAAATGGGCAAGGGACAAGAAACAATACAATTGAAGACTTCCGGGGAAAAAACGACAGTAGTCACAAACTGAAAATCGTGATGGTACCAATTTTTAACGCTATTTAACTCATAACTGTATTCTGTTTAACTGTTGGTTAATTATTGTTGTTAGATTTACCATTCAACCACGCTTAACAATAAACCACCAGTCAAACAAATGGGAAGTTATGAGTCCACAAGCTTTTAAAATTGGCACTCTCAACAATTTTTAGTTTGTGACTACAGTCGTTTTCCCCCTGTGCTCTTCTATTGGTTTCGTGTAACCCCAAGTCTCTCTCTTTCACTTGGCGATCCATGAATGACCCAATGGTTCATTGAGGACTGCATGGGTCACCCGATCAATGCGCGGTGATGTTTATCATTATTATATCAAAAGTTTCCACGAGGACCAAAGCCTACGACTGAGACTTCTCCAAATCGTCTCGTGTGGGAACGGGTAAATAGGCAGGAACATCCGGCAAGTTAATTACTGATTATCGTGTGAACGGAAAACTCTCTCGACGGTTGAGAAAAAAATGGTGATGTTATGGTTTAGGTTTAACGCCCCTATCAACACTATTAGGTTACTTAGGAGGCGGGACCTCTGAGTTTAATGTCTATCTCCGATCTCCGAAAGGACCGAGGTAAGTGGGACTTTCGTGTTAAGTGTCGATGGCTGTTCTTAGGATGTGTGTTTTTTAAAAATAGCAGCTGAACTAGGATTTTCAAAAAACAAAACAAAACAAAAACAAAAATAAAACAAACAAACAAACAAAGAAAAAAAAAAACAAACAAACCAAAAACAAATCAAAAACTGAAAAAAAAACCTACAAACACAAACAACGTGGGGTTGCCATGCTAGGCTACTGATTGACTCGTTAGCAGCTGTTATTGCTATCATCATGTCGCTACCGCTTAGAAATACAAAGTGTTGTCCGCTATTTTTGGCTGTTTTGCGTTACTAAAACCACGAAGTCAGAAACCAAATGTGCTATCTGCTCTATCAAAATCGTAAGATTATTCGGAGAAGTCATCAAGACATTCATAGTTATTAGTTGCTTTAAAAAAAAGGCTTGATTTGTTGTGAAAATCAAACTTTTAACGTCAAATTTCTCTAAACTAGGTACTGAGCAGATAGAACTTTGTAATTCTGGGATAGTGATGTGTTATAGTCTGCTCCAGAAGAAGAAATACATGCTAGGATTGGGATTAGAAAGAACATGACAATGCGTTCTTTAATTATCAAGTCTCTCCATTCACTTGATTCAGACCTGTCCAATCACCACCACCTTCCACAACCGTTCCATATCTACCCACAGCTCTACTAATCATCATCATCATCATCATCATCATCATCATCATCATCATCATCATCATCATCACATCATCATCATCATGATCATCATCATGATCATCATCATGATCATCATCATCATCATCATCATCATCATCATCATCATCATCATCATCATCATCACATCATCATCATCATGATCATCATGATGATGATGATGATGATGATGATCATCATCATCATCATCATCATCATCATCATCATCATCATCATCATCATCATCATCATCATCATCATCTACAGCAACAGCGACAACGTCAGAAACATGAAGTTCCGTCGATTCAAGAGAATTTTCATCAAGAACACACAACCCAAGGCACTGCTCGCTCTGTGCTGCCTCACGTGCATGGCCATGGTTCTACTCAGTCGTTTCTTCGGGTAAGTCAGTGAGTCTTAGTTTCCGTAAGGTTTTACGGCACTCGCACCTGCAAAAGGTCATAAGAGCGCCAACGTCAGTGAGTCTGTCCTGCCTTTGGTTTCCTTGGTTTCTCGTAATAATACGTGTCACAACGCGGTGATATCAGGCTCTCCTCCATTTTTGTCCGTGTAAAGCTATTGGTATCATTTTAAAGATTGTCCATTAGTCTTGCTTTGGATGAAAAAAAATCCATTATCTTGAATAGAAGTCGAGATATTTGTGAATGAAGGTGGTGGGAGTCACCTGGTTCAAGAGGTAAGATTAGTGAGAAAATGGCCGCCAAAGATTAGTTATTTCCTTAGCTTGAGAGTCCGTGGAAAGTGAAAATTTCCATTTTTGTGTGCCTTTAATCAACGTTTTTCAGTAAAATCCACTCAGAATTGTATTCTTTAATGGGCTTGAAAGATGTTGAGACAACCCCCCCCCCACCAACCCCACGAAAATTGCATAAAAATTCAGAAACCTGGGGGAAAATGCCAGTTTCTTCACTTTGATTATTTTGACGAACGCCTGATCTCACCACGCTGCCTCACATATATTATAAAAAAATCAGAAACACGAATAATTGACATATGGTTACCTCAGATTTACAAAGTTCTATCTTACATTATTGGCCGTTTTGAGTAACTAAGACAATGAGGTTTGAAACCAAATTTAATGTTCTATCTGCTCTATCAAAATCGTACTAAGATTGTTCGGAGTCGTTATCAAGATATTCAACGAATTGCATTCACATTTCTCAAAACTAGGTACTGAGCAGATAGAACTGTATAATTCTGAAGTAGAGATAGGTGTCATGACGCGGTGGAATCAGGCCCTGTTAATTTTTTGGTGGGCATGTGAAGTTATTGGTATCCTCGTAACCCTATCCGTACGCCTTGGGGTCATTTTGTACCCCGGGGTTGTTTTCTTCACATTTCAGAATACTCCTATGTAGTACAAAGATCTCTTTGAAACTTTCAGCATTTTTCAAAAAACAACAACATTTTGATAGACTGCTATGCAAAGTGTACGGATCGGATGAACGAGTAAATTTCCTCCTTGGAAAGATGGGGCACAGAGTTCCCCACGTCGTATGGATACAATAGTAAAACACGACGTACGGATTGGGTTAAGTGGTGGCACAGTACTTAGTTTTGAAAAATTTGACGGGACAAATTTTGAGTTTCACACACAACATGTTGAGCTTTTTCGAATGCAATTCTTTAAAAATCGGTTTTGGATACCAAAATCGAATTTTGAGTTTCACACACAACATGTTAAGCTTTTTCGAATGCAATTCTTTAAATATCCCCCCCCCCCCACACACACACATACACACACACACCAATCCACATGTAATTGCTCCCACGTCGGTCGCCTGATAAAACCGTGAATTCCCCAAATTTTCGAAAATTGTTTTTTTGGGCATATTTTGATACAGCTCGGTGAGATACATGTCCCTGTAAAACAGTTTTTCAATTATCTCAACTCAAACGTGCATTCTGACGTAATAAGAAAAATCGTGAATAAACATCGTGCCCCAAAAGTCGCCTGGTGAAACCGAGAATCCCACACCTGTGTGGAATTCACGATTTCATCAGTCGGTTTATGACTCGCGGGGCTGACCGTTGGCGCCGTGAACGCCTCTTTAGACCATTGAAATATGGGCGACTGCGTTGAGCAAACATAATGGTTGGTCAGTATTCACGGTTTCCAGGCCAAAGATTATAATTTATGATGTCGACTGCATGCGTTTTGCAGGAAAATCTCTCTGTTTCATAATCAAAATGTGTATTTCCTGGATGCAGGACTGGTACTGTTTCATAACGACTGTCAAATTCGAATGTGTAATGTGTGTTCCCTTCTAATAGTGGTCATACAATTTTGATCTTGCTCATTTGCCCCCCCCAAAAAATTTTTTTTTTTAAATTGACGTAGTCAAGTATAAATTACAAGTATTTTTCCGTGTTGTATCACAACCCAAACTTGTTTGACATTGAAAGCTCTTTGATTTGACATCAGAGTTCCCTAACGAGAAAAGGAATTTTGAGAAGCCGAGCAATGTGAACCATTTTGGGCATCAAAGAAAGCTATAGAAAATACAACACGGAAATAGTAGAAGAACCAGACTTCAATGAAGAAAAAGTATCATTCAAAGTACACGATGCGTTGGAACAGATCAAAGGTGCTTTTTTAACCTCCGAGAGAGTAAGAGAGGAAGAGAGAGAGAGAGAGAGAGAGAGAGAGAGAGGGGGCAGCAATAAGCAATACAAATCAAGAGATAGGACGATTAAAAAAAAAATGAACTGTAACCCAGATGTGGTTGCTGAACCAAATCAATGGACTACTCACTATTAAAAGACAACAACAGAACAACCATCTGAACAACTATCTTTGTTTTTGTTTGGACTTTGACACGGGGAGACAGAAAGTCAACGGTATTCTCAACTCGAAAGAGTACAATTTAAGCAAAAGCGATACACCAAGCTGAAAGATGCACACTTGGGTTTATCATCTGAAACAGAATGACCAGAAAATCAAAGTTTGCAGGATGTTGATATCTATGACCGAGCTCACCCATTGTAAATTGCTCTAGAAAAGCCAGCCCATGCCAGTTTCATCATCGCCTGGCTCACCCAGAACGGACCAAAACTTTTCACTATTCCCTACCCCGGGCTAACTTCTTCATATTTTTCAAATGTTTTTCCACTTTTCTGCTCATCATTCTCTGCGACTTTTCTACAGGTTCCACATGGTCTTCCCTTGATCGTTTAAGCTGTTAACTCCAAATTAAAACTTTTTTTTGTTATGTAGCGGCCTGATTTCCAAATGGTATGCTCAGTCCAATCCATCTCCACTGCTTTCTTCTGAAAATTTTCTGGTCCTTACTTCCTCATTGCTGACTCTGTCTGTCTATCTGATCCTGAGGAACTTCCCAAGACACTTGTTGATGACAACCTGGATCCTCCAGAACGTTGTAAAGAGTGCTTTAGAAGAACACAGCCCAGTTGCACCACTAGACAATCCACAAGGGGCGTGCAAGCCAAGGAGTTTCTGCTCACATCTGTGGACATGCTTCTGAAGATTCCCACTCACTATTGCCAGCAAAGCTCTAGAAAACTGTATCTTGATCCCTGATTCTGTAATCTGTTGGAGCTTGAAACTGCCTGCACTGGTCAGGGACAATCTGCCTTGTATGTCAGGCTACTCAAATATGTGTAGATGAAAAGAACATGTTGATCTATGAGTAAAAAAAAAAAGATCAATGTGAATTGTGCGTGAGTTTTGAGGCTTGACAACGTCAGGAATCTCACATCTCAGAAAAGAACATGACAAAGAAAGGGCACGCAATGGTTAAAACCTTTTTACTATGCTCGTAGGCAAGAAGACCTTGTGATTATTTGCCTGAATTTTCAGGGTGTACTTTTGTCATTGTCTATTAATTCATCTAGCTCTTGTTACAGAAACATGCACATAATCTTCAATACGACCTCGTATGGTGCTATCTATTACTTATGACAAAAGGCACAAGGTGGTTTGATTGCAAATGAATTCAGTCACAAGTTGTTTGATGGACTTTTTTAAAAACGTGCACAAATACGTAGAGGGTTATAACAATATATTATTATACAGCTACGGATGTGTGCGTGTGTGTGTGTGTGTGTGTGTGTGTGTGTGTGTGTGTGTGTGTGTGAGTGTGTGTGTAGGTGTGTGGGTGTTTGTGTGTGTGTGTGTGTGTGTGTGTGTGTGTGTGTGTGTGTGTGTGCGTGTGAGTGTGAGTGTGTGTATCAGCACAAAAATTGCATCTATTTCTAATGCCGTGGGTGTCTTTTCCACTAAAGCAAACGCCAAAATTAAATACAAAATCTTATTAGAGGCCACACTCATATGCAAGTAGAAAGTATGCATCGCGTCATTGAGCGGCGGCTTTAAATAAAAGACATTTCCAGAACTGCAATTTTTATAATTATATCAACGAAGACCCTATAAGGTGAAATTTGAGGATCACCTTTTCCTCCACGACTTTGCCAAAATTGCAGTTCACAAAACTGTCAGGTCGGGTAGACAAAAAGAAGACCAAACTTTTAATGCAGTATAAAGCCTCAGATATACATAAGGAGAAATTCTTAGCAGACTGAACTCTAACGAAGAGTGGGAGAGTCTTCTAAAGTCCAGAGGCAAGAAAAACTTAACAAACAGTTCCCCACCATTGTATTATTCTACTTATAAACGACAAAAAGCAATTTTCAGGATCTGAGAGACAAAAAGGGTAAGATAATGAAAGATGATCATTCAGTCATTCAGGGGGTATAGAATTTTGACATAAATCAAGTTCTCAACCCATCCATCACCCCCTCCCCAAATGAAATACACTTACGTACAATTGGAGAAGGAAGGATAGAAAGAGAGAAAGCACGCAAATGAAGGAGTATGATTTCATAAATTACATACAATATCTCATTCATGTAAGTTTATAGTGGTAAAATAATGAATAGGTTTCTGTCTCACTCAGTCTGTATTTTCATTCTCAGTTTTAAACAGCATTATTTCTAAAAGGTAATTGATTAGATTTATCCATTTAGTTTATATCTTGGGCGCCAAATGACGGAGAAAAACAGTTTTTTCCCTCTCCTGTAAAATTTGCTTCGTGTGGAATTCACGGTTTCATCAGGCGACCGACCTTATGCTCTCTGTCTCTCTCTCTGTCTCTCTCTCTGTCTCTCTCTCTGTCTCTCTCTCTGTCTCTCTCTCTCTCTGTCTCTCTGTGTCTCTCTCTCTCTTTCTCTCTCTCTCTACCCCCCCTCTCTCTCTCTCCTCTCTCCCCCGTCTCTCTCTCTCTCTCCCACACACCAATCCACATGTAATTGTTCCTACTAGGGTAACGAGGAATCCAGACGGTTTTGCTCTCTCTCTCCCCCTCTCTCTCACTCTCTCTCTCCCTCTCCCTCTCCCCTCTCTCCCTCTCTCTCTCACTCTCTCTCTCACTCTCTCTCTCCCTCTCTCTCCCCCACTCTCTCTCTCCCTCTCTCTCCCTTCTCTCTCTCCCTTCTCTCTCTCCCTCCCCCCTCTCTCTCCTCTCTCCCCCGCCTCTCTCTCCCACACACCCATCCATAAGTAATTGTTCCCACTAGGGTACCGAGGAATCCAGACCACCCACACAACTACATCCAGTATTTCCCACATCGAGAGTGGCGCAGCTCCGGCGCAAAGACCATCCTCTTGTGGACGCCTCGCTTCGGCTATGACTACTGGGCCATGGACCCGGACTACGACTTTGGTAACTACAATTATTATGTAAAGGATCGCGTTGAAATCAGGCGCTGGTCAAAATGATGAGGTCAAAGAGATCAACGTTTTTCAGACCGTTGGTAAATTCTATAGATTTTTTGAAACTTTGGGCTCATCTGAATTTATGTACATTTAAGAACCCGCTTCTGCGTGGATTTTTTGGGAAAAAATGTTGATTGTAAATTTTCAGTTTCCAAGGACTCTCATGCAATGAAAGTCACCAAATTTTGGCGACCATTTTCTCTATAATTTTACATCTGAAACCAGGCGAGCACCACTTCCTTCAATAGCAAATATCTGGACCTCTATTCAAGACAGATAGGTATTTTTCACCAAAGCAAGATAAATAAACATACTTTAAAATAATATCAACAGCTCTACAATATGTAAAAAAAAAACCCTATATATTAAATTGACGGGCGCCTGATTCCACCTCGAAGTGACATATGTATATGTCCCTGGATTTTCTAAAAATGTAATCTCTGACTTAGAGGTTGACGTGTTATGACACACTATCATTCACGGTCGCGAACTGCTATCGTTCCAGATTCTGCTATAGCCAGGCCAGTCCATGTTTTAATGTTGTCCATCCAAGTTACTCTTTGTATACCCCTGGCTCTCCTGCCCCACATCTTTCCTTCAAGCATCTTTTACACAATGGTATTGTGTCTTTTTAAATGGCCATAGTATTGTAATTTTCTACGAAAAGAATCTGACACACATCTTTCACTTGTATTGGGTAAATAATGACCCTTGGGTTATGTAGAGTAACCACTCAGCCCACTCTCCCCCCAAAACCCCCCACCCCCAAAAAAACCAACAACAACCAACAAACAAAACAAAACGAGTACGGTTATTATACGAGTATTTGGCTGCCCATCAGCTCATCCATCACCTGCCTGCCGTATCATTTTACATTTGTTCAAACTCTACCTAAAAATTGTATGCATCTATCTGCTGTGTTCATGTGGTTACTATTACGAGATTTAGTTAATCCTTTTCAGCACGTCTCACATAATTATACGGAGCATGGTGTGAGAAGAGATGTAAAACTGTTGACATGTTGTCGCCCAGGTGAGTGTCCGGTGAAGACGTGTCGACTGACCAATGATCGGACCTTGCTGGACACCAGTGACGCCGTGCTCTTCCACTCCCGCGCTCTGTGGAACAACTTCCTGGGCACGTCCTTGCCCACACACCACCAGCCGCACCAGGTAGAGGGTCTTGGTTCAAATCCCATAAACTGACAGTCACATCAGCTAGGGGTTTTTGGTTCAAATCCCAGACTTTTTGGTTCAAATCCCAGACGTTTTGGTTCAAATAACTGACTGAAAGTCACATCAGTTGGGGGGGGGGGGGTTTATGTAATTTTGTGGTTTGGGGGGGGGGGGGTTGGTTCCAGGTAGGAGGTTTTGGTTAAAATCCCAGACTGGCAGCCTCACCAGGTAGAAGGTTTTCTCAGTTGGTGTCATGCTGAGCATCAGAGGGAATGGTTTTGATTCGAACTCCAAATCGGAATTTTTTTAAATGATAAAAAAAGCAGGACTTTTATTTGGAATGAGTTACGGGCCATCTTTCAGGAAGATAATGTTGTATTCGTTTATAAAATAGCAACTAATGAACACATTTTACTAAAGCATAGTTTACTGTATTGGGACGAAAAGTGCTCATGGAAGTGGCATGCAGTTTCACCAGGTAGGGGGCAGTCCTGGGGCTCAGGTGGTATCTTGCCAGTCTATGGCACAGATGTTCTTGTTTCGAATCCCACACTGACAGTCACACTAGGTAGGCGCGCTTTGTTTGCTCAGGCGGTATGTCATGCTCTACTACGGAGCAGTTAACGGTCGTGGTTCGAATCTCACATCGGCAGCCGCACCATGTAGGAGGTTCGCTCAGTTGGTGTCATGTTAGACTGTAGAGCAGATGGTTTTGGTTTGAATCCTAGACTTTCAGTCATACCAGGTAAGGGGTTTGCTCAGTTGGTATCATGTATAGACTACTGAGAAGATGGTTTTGGTTCGAATCCCACACCGCCAGCTTCACTAGGTAAGGGGTGCCCATGAGCTCAGTCAGTATCATGCCGGACTATGGAGCAGAAGGTCATGGGTCGAATCCGAGAATGGATGTTTTTGAACACTCGGGCCATTTTTGTGGAGTTTTCGAAGCTCTCAACTAATGTGTCTCAGTCCTATCGGAGACGGGCGTTAAATTAGGAGGTCCCGTGTCTTAAATAGCTAACAGCATTGTAATGGACGTGTAACTCATACACTTTAGCACCAGGTAAGTGTTTGGTTGGAAGTTGAGGTAAAATTATCTACTTTAGAATTACAAAGTTTGTATATGGCATTTTTTGCTGATTTCAGTTACTAAGACCATGGAGTCAAAAACCAAATGTTCTATCTTCTCAATTAAAATCGTAAGATAATTCGGGTTCGTTATCTGGATATTCAAATACTTGTGTTAAAATTAGCTTGACAAGATGTCTTTCTTCTTCTTCTCAATTGCATCACACTAGAAGTCCAGTATCTGTCATAAATTGGGCCGTCCTGCTCAGTTCATCTGTCGGCCCGTATAGCCTCTACATGATGTGGAACTCAAAATTTTTAACGTTAAATTTTCCCAAAACTCGATGCTCAGCTGATAGAACTTTGTATTTCTAAGGTAGCTCACAGTGTGTAGTAGAACTTTGACGTCAAACTTCTAGAAATAGGTACTGAGCAGATAGAACTTTGTAGTTTTAAGCTAGTAACTTGTCTACCATTTTAGACCCCACCTCCCCCCTCTCTCCCCTACCCCAAAAAGCGCAGAGATTCTCATTTCACCATATTATTATGCGACGTAAGCACAAATAGAAATTTCGTGACCCGTAAACAAGCAATAAAGTAATTCTCCCACCGTATAATAATTGTACAATAGAGGTATAGTACGCTTATTGCTCTTTTGAAGCAGCTTCACTTATTAGATTCTTCCACCTTTGATGGTGCGATAGCCTTTAGAATACCGGTCACTCGGATTAGGCATACCTTTTTGAGAGGCACATTATTGAGCTTGATTCTAAAACATCTTGTTGCTCGGAGGCAACCAGCCATGACATGGTACCAGACTATGTTACCGCAGTATCTATCCGGAGACGTCTCCGAAGGAGATAGACCAATCAAAATGCTTTGTGCCTCTGGACGAATAAAAAAATCTGGGGGTTACAGGGGAGGCCTGCCACCCCCTCCC